TCAAATCAATTCTTTTATACGTCTGAATGCTACATAGGAAGAAATCATATTAATTGAAATCACGGAAGCTGTTAAAATGGTTTCACACCCAGCGAAGTGATACATTAGATGCAAACATCAACTTTATTTCATAATAAATTGATAAGCCGTGTTTATGTAAGAGTTACAGCCTCTATAGAGTGATATATTCTATAAGATACATTTCTTTTCCTGAGAGCGCGACCTCAATATAACACTGGCAGTACTCGCGTAGACATCCACGGTGACCAGAGAGGTCCTGACGACCTCGCGCTGTGCACGATGGGGTTTGAGGTGCGAAAATACATTTACCGTTTTTTACAACAATTTGGCGTTGTCTGATCTTGTTACAATCAATGTTAAAACTAGACAACCCAGAGTGAACGTTTAAAACGCCTTCCTCTTCGTCTAACTTATCATATCTGGAGTATACACTTAGTTAGAGCTGCTGGGAAACACTGCTCAGAATCAATTAGGAATGGTTGGTGAGGTAGATTCATTTACGCTGATAAGACAAGTCGATGCAATTTGCCTTTTCGACGATCTGTCCATAACCATGAAATCACCGAATGGAAATTGTGTCTGATGTTCGATTTTGTTGCCAAATGTATTAGCAGTCAAACAAAAAAAATCCAATTGACTCTCTTCTGTTAATTTCTACTGATGTTAAAGAAAAACCTAGAGCTATTGACTTTTGTTATGTAAAATTGGTATTCTTACTTGAAATTTACAATTTTACATCCGTTGTATCAATACTTACAATGGCCGATAGCATTATTTATGGAAGTCGATGAATTATACGTCCTTAATTGACCTGATCTGTTGATTGGCCGTTAAGCTCTCTCCAACGTATAATAATATACATTGTACCTGGATGTTCAGTTTATCAAATCAAGTCTGAAAATCAACACGCCAAGCAAGTTCAATCTCGATAATACGAGTTATATTTTACCATCATTTCTTTTTCATGTCTGTGCCTAAATGATCAAATATCTAGTTGTATCAATATGTATTGCGAAATAGGAATTGCAATATGTCTGTGATTGTAGTATTATAACAAACCCTTTTTAAAAAAGTGTACCATAGTGAATTTAGTGTGGTACGCATGCACCTTTTCTAAGTACTTTTTTGTATCAATATAGAGTTCAAAAGTGTAAGAAATTTACCATGATACATTTTAACAAAGTTAGTAATGACAAGTATCCGACCGCTATTGACCATCGTAGAAATAGACTATCTTCTCCGAGCTAAAACTCTAATTCAACAAATGGAGACGTTTAACGGTTCTCAATGACTTTAAAAATAGTTTGCAATACTAGCAGTAAGCTTTACGTGAACAAACTTTTCTTCTGTCAAATTTATTTGTTTTATGATTTCAATTGGTAGACAAACACAATTTCTGTGACGTTCTTCACATCACCTTGCAATGTAAATGTGTTCGTGGTGCGTGCACGTCATTGCACGGACCAATAATACGTATCGCAGGCACCAACACGCGGCAAACCCCGTATTACTTTTCTGTCATTCAGGACAACTATCTCAAACTCAAGTGTATACTTAAATACGTTTTATAGAGACATCCTGACGCATCTGTGTGTTTTATGTTACAAAATGATCGAAATATAGCGATATTTATGTTGTAACATGACACAAGAGCCCATTTCAACAAAACTTGAAATCAGCGGTTTGTATACATGTTCATTTCGTGGCGTCGTGAAAATGGAGTAGAAATGAAAGTGGTGGCTATTTTGAATTTAATTTTGACATTGCATTGAGTATGACGAGATTTTTTTGATTTTTTTGCATTTTGAAGATGATATGCCCGACTGTTGAGGTGAATATAAGGTCAGTTTATATTGGTTTGCAATAATTGATGTTAGGGCATGTATTCAGCTCTCATCAAAGTCCAACTGCATCCTTATACATGCATATCAGAGAAAACTAGTGTGGGGTCCCCGCAGAATATTAGGGGGATTGTAATTTTCTGTGGTTTCTGGGTGCGAGACATAGCAGAAACCAAACAGGACCTTCTGCCTTAATTGTCACACTTTAAATCCTTATCTTTTTTCTCCCCTCCTGTTTTTTAATTTCTTTTGTCCTTTTCTCCTTAGGCCGGCGTCTTCTTATGATCTGAGCTTTATAGATTACGTACAAATCTGCTCCCTTGTAAGTGAAACTTAATCACTAGATGTGTCCATACGATAATTAATTTAGCTCGACATCTATTTGAAGCTTTACCAGATCACTTGAGACTACTGAAGTTCATTTCACACGATAAAGCACTCCTCGATCCCCCTCTCTTTATCACCACTGCCAAACTAATTAGAAGCTCACTTTTTATTCATTTTAGATAAAAAAAATCTTCTTAAAATACATTTTCTCGTTGATGGCGTGAGAGAGTACTGTGTTCGACTCGTGACAGTTGAGGATTGTATTATATCACATAGTGATCGGCTTTCTAAAGTTAGCCTTTTGTTAGGCTTAAATATGAGAAGATGGTGGCAGATTGAAAACGCGAATGAACAGAAGACTGGTTATATGCCTTACGCGATGTACCTCGTATAAGGACAATTAAGCTTGTATCCCGTGTAAACGAAAATATTTTAAATATCTTTTGAAATTCTTTAGATTTATGTAGGAGAATATTGAAAATAGATACTTCACCTGTTTCACTTTGTAACACAGAATACCGGCCTGTATAATTTCCCATGACGTACGGTTAAAATATGACCGATTTGAGACCGAGATTCTGAAACCGTCATGAATGAAACCATTGACCCGAACTAGGTCATCAGAGACATGACGATGATCGCTATGCTTTCACAATATACAGGAAGTATTTTGCACCCCGTGGTAAGCCCACAGGTGATACCAATCAAAGAGCAGGCCGCATCGCAGGTGTAACCTAACACCACATCTCTGTAGTACCCTTTAATTATGCGATGTGTAATCGTCCTAAACATAGCCCATTTTGTTGTCAAGTTTTTTTCAAAACGGTATGATTATATAATCATTATATTAACATTTTCTACTGCAGTCTATGAAGTGAGTTTTGACGAAGCTTCAAGTTGGCATGTACTGTTTGATTTAGCACAATGGAGGTGAAACGAAGTGTTTAATGTCATTGTTAAACAATATTTTGTAATTACAATATGCAAAATTGTTCGAATTTTCAAATTTTAAACATGTCCTTTATAAAGTTGAACATTCTCTTGGATTTTTTTTGTATCTATAATCACATTTGCAAGAAAAGTTACAAAACATAACAACACACAAAATATTCAAAAAAACAAAAAACAAAAAAAAAGGGAAAATTCGTTGATCATTATTAAGTTACATTTGTACATCGAATGTGGACATTACACCCGCGATGTATGAGTTCGAAATCCCCTTTTTCCCTTACCTACATATATATAATAGAAAAATCAATATGTTATCCAGTACTGGATGCGTAATTCGGCTAATGAATTTGCTCAGATTAGTTTTGACATTATAAAAGGGGTTGTAGATAAATTGACGGAATATACAAAGTAATTCTTCCTAGATTAAAAAGGGGTTTTGAAATATGTTTGCTGTAGGCAATGCGGCAATAAAAAGGAGGGGCCTTATATTGAGGTTTTACTGTATATATCACTTTTTACATTTTATCAAACACTCTGTGGTGGCACAAACTATCCAGACAGATTATTAACGCTGATGTTTCACTGATGACATGATAACGGCAGCCTTTATATGTTTCGTCAGTTAAAAGTTTACCTCCGGCATTACCCGCCATGTCTATGTAAACCCTGTGTTCTCAATCGTATGAATGTTTTAAAAGCGAGACATGCCCCATAAACGGCCTGCCCGCTTCAACGTTAAAATCAATAACTCATTCGGAAAAGATAATCCGGACGAAGCATTAAATTCCTTTAAAATAGTTTCTCCGGGCATTTGTAAAAGACATATCTCGTGACAATTAACAGAGCCCAATTAGACAATATGAATTCAATTTCAAGGTTAGATGTATTACATTTTCCCTCTGCCTGCGGAAACTCGCTCATCATCTCCAAAAGGCCTTGTGAGATATAATAGATTGTGAAAATGTAATGCATGTGGCAGTTTGCAATCTGAAACATATATCTGTAACGCGGTGCATGCCACGTGGTTTTCTGTCACATTTATACATTTCCAGGTCTACTTCAAAAGATAGATAAGCGAAAGGCAATCACAATATATTCGAAAACAAATATATGGTGGATACAAAAGTATCGTCACGGGAATAATGTGGATTAAGAGAACCCCAATGTACTGAAGCTGGTGATAACACTGGTTCTGTATCTACCGTTAAAACCTCTGTCTCATATGTCACACTATGCAATACCCTAATGTCGTTACCGGCGATCACAGACAAGTACTCTGACAATTGATGATTCCAGAGGAACAATACCGGCCTATTTGTCTCCAGAAACACCGGAGATGCAGCGACTAAACTAATCGTCTATATTGAGATAAATAGGTAGACGGAAACAATTTTAACCTTATGAACATTTGTTTGCAACTTTTAACACATACCGATGTTTACCGCCGTTAATTGAGCACAAAGAGTTGTTTTCCATCGTGAAGTGAAACTTGATTCACTCATATACGTAATTGGCCATATCGAAGCAAAAGAGACACGAACAGCCATATCATCAACACACAAGGTTAAAATNTCGATTCCCCAGTCGGACGTGAAAAGGTATGGGGTCACCTGCCCGAAAACATGGGTTTCTCCAGGTACTCCGGTTTCCTCCCACATAAAGACTCACCGCACGCTATCATCCGTGCCAACAAGAGTGATTAATATAAGTTGAACTAACTTGTTTCATAAATGTTGCAAAATACATAAAGTTTTCCTATAACAGCAGATATCAATATGATAATAAAAACCTAGAATACCTTATTATATTTCAAGTTGACACTATATTATAAACAACAAATTGGCAATGCATTGAAAATATTTGTCAAATTTATTTATATTGTAATAATATATCACATAGCATATGTAGATTCAATAAATATCACATTAAAATGGTCCGCTACGGAACCCCATATATAATATTGCTACTCTCTTATGCTATTTGCATTGAAAATACCTGCTAATGCGGGCACATCATACAATCTCACTGAACAAGGTCACACGGTCGCAAGGTCACGATGTCATATCTTATCATTCAATTCAGCTGTTTTCTAGGACACTAGACAACGCATTGCGTAGCCAAGTAAAACAGAAAAACCATGACATTATTATCACTTGATATAAGTATGAGGTTCTGAGTATGACGTCTGAATTTTCTCTAGATCATATAAATTTAGACAAAAAGGATAAAAGATTACCTATGTGAATGACGTACATGACTTCCGTAACATTATTTGAACATGCATTCCACAAGACTTCTGCGACAAGAAAACATATATGAAGTTCTTGATTGTTGTTATCTAAAATGATTAAAACATAACATTCACATAAAACTGCATCTATGCCGCCATTGAGACTACATCATTCCTTTGTGTTATCATAATCATGACAAACTCTAAAATACGGTTACATAAATAACTATTCTTTTCATTTGAATATTCTACATCACAAAATTTTAAAGTAAACTAGCAGATATAATCAGCAAGCATGCGATGCACTTGTTTTTCATATTCAAAATTGAATGTTTAGTTCTGATTTAAGATAACAAGCTAAGTCGGTTCTCGTTGTTTGGAATGTTTTTAATCTATGCTAACATTGATAATTGTTAATGTTATAGTATATATATATTATATATATTATCGTCCTTCATTTGGATACAAAGTAACTATCTAGTAATATCATCTACACACTGCACCACCCATAGATCTATGGAGCCGGTCTGTAGCTATTCCCACAATGTGTTTTTATTGTTAGTGGCTAACTAGAACCACATCTGCCGTCTGTTTTCGTTCATTCTACATAATACGAAACATGGCTCAGATTCAAAACCATCAACATGTTGTAGGTTTCCTCGATTTCAGAAAGTTAGTTCATCCCATAACATGATTGGAGTGTCACTTATTTAATTTACCGTGTACAATTATAAAAACAGACATGATAAAGGATTCATAAATTCATTTGTATGCACATTGGTAGTTTAGGGAATGGAATAATTTATATGCAAATGTTTTTTCATTAAATCAAGAGGTTCTTTCACACAATGCCAGCTTCTTACTAGCAGGCTAACGACGTTAATTTGATCTTTTTTATCGAATGACCGAATAAGCGGAGTCTAGACTATTCATACACTTTCACCGATCTATCTTAACAGATTTATAACCGTGTCTGAGCATCCATAGAAATTCATATTATTTAAGGTAGATTGGGATTTTCATTTTGTTTTAAACAAACACAATGAGCGATATCAGTTGTTTTCTAAATATCGACAAAGTGTCATTATTTTTTGTTGAATCTCAGAACATGTATAGTTTGTGGGCAGTTTTGATGATGGAAAGTGTTTCATTAAGCTTATGTTACTTGATATTACTGTATTTTTGTCTAACGAATCCTGAATAAGGTTGCATACAAATGTACGCTAATAACACTGACACAGAATGTATCCATTATATCACGTATGCTACTTAGCCAAGTTACGTCTTCAAAAAATGGCCTCAATGTCATGGCAATGGCTTTCAGATGTTAAAGAAGACAGCTCTACTTATTAAACATTCTTTAAAAGCTGAAATATTTTTACAACTAAATACAATTTAATTAAATGTGTTCTTCAATATCAATTATTGTTGCCCTTTCACCCTACATTAAAGATAAGAGGATTGAAATATAATTAATTCGCCTTTCCGAATAGGTTATTATTAACGTCACTGGTATGATTTGCTTCAAAATGTCTGACGACTGCAGGTCATACATATATAATTAAACTATATAGATCCCTAAGTTTGTTCATTCCAATTCCTATGCTGGATGCCATACAGTAGAAAAGTAGTTGGACTGTCTTCGTTAAGGTCTGTATACATGAGGTTGAGTGATGACCTTCACTACCATAACTGTTTTGAGTTTGCGTTCTTAAACCATTTTGGTTCGTAGTACAATGCATTGTGGCGCACCATGATCACAAAAGTATGTTTGGACTTGTATACCTTACATCTAACAAAAGTAAATATCATTAAATATTATGTCAACAAGTAAACAAAGGAGAAATTATAAACATTCAACGTTATAATAATAGATATTGCAGAGATCTCATAACAATAATATACGGGCTACATGATAAAAGTTTGACTACGTCGAGGATGGTATTTGAAATAAGTAAAAAGACAATTGTGTTTACATTAACTACTCCCTCACACACTCACCTTCTCATCAAATGATAACTCGTTTCAATCGAACCCTATAAAAACAGACAATTTGACTTTGAAGATTAGTAAATACTGGATTCAAAAATTGTCATTTGCGCATGATTAATCAATATTCGTAAATTAATGATTTATGCAAAAACAACTTTTGGCGATAATATACATTGATTCTGGCTATGTGATTATAACAAAGAAAAATCAGCTTGCCTAACTATGAGCTTGTCACTTGATATGATGTGAAGGACGGACTATGCATAATGGATAATTAGGGATACAATGGATATTGATTAAATTATCTCCCCCTTGTTTCCAAACTAGTTAATGACGAGCCTATTGTAATAGCTGATGAATTCCAAGTAAAATAAAGAGACAACCAAATTGGTGATTCATCGAATGATACTACCATTGTGAAAAAGACCGCAGAAATTGACTCCAGCTGACGTGTGGCATGTTGTTATGTATGTTTCAAACACAATGTTTGCATTACTCGATGTGAATTGACGCTTACAATACTTCATCCAATTAAGGAAGGAAATGCAATATAATCAAAAGTGTGTATCTTACAGTATATATATTTAGAATTAAAATGAATGGCGACATACGTTGGTTCACTTATTAGAAATGTATTAAGTGTATAAAGGTTTAAATGGAACCAAACAAAATTAGTTCAAGAAACAGATATAAAACATTAAGATATATTGTTTGCAGAATAAAAGGTGTATTCTAACTAAAGAAGTGGGTAGTGCATAGAACAGTGTATCTGTTTGAGCGTCTTCTTAAAACATTATTCAGCCCATCCTTATACCTCAAATATCAAACGCTTGTAGCAAGTATCTACACAAAATCAAATCAGTGTTTTGCAAGCATCTGTACATGAAAAAAATGGTCGGTTTAAATATATATAATCACCAACCACTTGGCGTAATGATGTTTTGACATAACATGTCTTATTTAAAGCATTGATCTTGTGTTTTTGGCTGAAAGCGCTTTTAGTATTTCAGATAAAACAGAGGAACCAAGGTTGTGAAGTAAATGTCCGAAATGTGTTCTAAAAATGCTTGTCTTTGTAAGATTGTATTTTTTGTCATACTTGAATGCTTTCAAAAAAAACCCCAAAAAAACCTGACTAAACAGATGTTTTAAATAAATGTATATATAAATATGTACAAAAACATGTAACAGGTGTGTCTACTGAAGAAGTATTAAATACCATATGAATAATATTTTAAAAAGAATCGTATCTTGTACTCTATCATAAACAATATGCATGACCAAAGCCGCCAAAGACCGGGTTTTAAAATTGAAAAAAATATGATTAAGAAAATTATTAAAAAAAAATCATATTGGAAAAACATCTTGCGATTTTATATAATTCTTATATTAGACTTTATTCAGTAAAGCAAATTGATATAGATAAAGACATATAAGGCTATCGGTTATTGTTGACACTTTCTACAGACTGTTTAATTAACATGGACTGTGTTCCTTCTCCAGGGAATGCACTGATAGAACAAGAGAGTACTACTGGAATAGGCTTGGGACAGAGATCGATGTCTATATGTGTCCGGAAAAACCTTTACTACAACACACGGTAGACCTGACACGACAGGAGACCAAGAGAATGGGGAAAAAATACAAAAACGCCTCGAGGTTCTTTTGATCACTAGGGATGTTTAGAGATATATCTCGTAGTATTGGACATTCTTATCAATTTAGTAGCAATGATATAATCGACAGTTACTCCTATATTAGATATACAACGTATACATATCCTATTTCAAGTAATGATGTCTTGTTAAGGGGATATTACGTTTTTATAGCAGGTATATTGTGTATCTTATTGTGTCGTCGCTACAATGAGAGAACATTACATCTCTCACAACCATAATTTCTTTCTCTGCTGATGAAGCTTTGGATAAGCATTCAATGTATTCGTACACATTTCATGTTACGTACATGTGGGTAACAACTTAAGTGATTTCATTGACCAGTTCTTTTATTATGACGTTAGTTAACAACGGTTAGAGCTGGCATTATCTATCGTGACGTCGTGTTTAATTACTATTAATTATCTGATCGTAAACAGGAATCATACTATTGAAAGGAAATTGTGATTTTGTTTCGGATAAAATATGAACTTTCATGGGAGGCCCCCAAATTCATGATGGCTGATTTTCATGTTTATCTAACTCTCTTAGTTTTCACATTGAAAAGAAGTTTGACAAGTCTCGTGTCTTTAGACAGTTTGGAAAATAATTCATACGAAAATTAACTATTGCAACCGATAACTTGTCGTTTGGGAGGTATTGTTTATCAAAACAGAGGGAATAATGAAATACAAATTTCAGACACTTGCACAGGCCAATATCTCGAAAGTATACGTGCACATCCTTTACATAAGTCAACGGTTCGAGAATAGGTATTTATCAAAGTTTTACTTTCAACACAAACAATGTACGTATCAAAAGTGTTCTAACGTTTCAAGACTCACTGAATACCTTTGTCAAGCTACAAAAGGACCGGTCGGTCTGTAAACGTTGGGGAACGTCTGGTATGTACATTATTTGTGCAAAAAGTAAAAGTTTGATACATACATGTACGTAATTCCAAACTGATGAAACAAATTGAAGATGTAAAAAAGGTTATATAATACAAAAAATAATTAAATCAATATAACAGTATTAACGCCATTGGCCATACTGACAAATTGGGTTAAGGAGTGTTTAATCGTAAGAAAGCTTTATAATATGCATCATTCTATTAAGAAATATTCCAAGATGACCTCTGTTAGCAAACAGAATATCTAATTCTTTAGGCCTTGATTTCACTGAAGTGTCCTAAATAGGGATGAAATAATAAACATATTTACCTTGTGTGCCTTTCTGCATCAGCGCACACATTTTCAAATATGTCCTTACTCACGTCGGTTTTCGAGCGATTATGATATGAATACTGATAAATTTTTCAAGGAAGCACACAATGCTTGAGCAAATGTTAGACCTGTGGGAATATAAACATGTCGTTTTCCATTACAAGAGGCTTAAATGGATAGCTGTCCATATTTGAAATTTCTTTTAATTCAAGGGACAACTCGATGTCATTATAAAGTGTTGAAACTGGCTATTTTTAAGGATATTTTGCCTGTTTATAATTATGAAAAGACAGTATGTGTATATTTATCCATGTGTGCTTTTATTACTATTTAAAATGTTTAGGTATGCTTTTGTCTATGAATAAAAAATTATCACAGTAACATGGTCTAGCAAGGACGTTTCATTTACATTCTCCATATCCTGAAGCTAAGATAACATTCATGAGATGTATTTCATAATTTTGCCAGGGACCTAGTTGATATTTTATCATTCGTGCCTACAGGTAGATAACGTGACCTACTGGCTCCGAGGTTCCCTGTGATAGCCTACATGTCTATATGTATAGAGATCAGTGTCATTGCTGTGTATCGATCCTCGAGTCTTTAAATTTCCATTACTTCTCAGAATGGGAATTCTATTACATTATTCATCCCAAAAGCATGTTCTGTAGCGATGGGATATTAGCAATCCAGTCGAAGTCAGCGAATCATTTAGCATATGTGTGAAAGACACCTTTAGTGCAATCGGAAGGGAAATAAAGGGGTTAGTTTCAAAGCAACTTCTATTAAACGGTTTAGTGAGGTTTAAAGATATGCTTGAGTTAAGTAAGGACTTGCTGTAGACTGCACAGAGTTCTACCAGCCCGAAGAACAATCAAACAGCAATGAGTCGGTCACTCTATGCTAACGTTTGTTTGTCTATCCTTTCTATGTATGATTAAGCCTATACGTTCAAAACGAAAATGTTTGTCCATTCCTACGTATTTCTCTTTGTCCATTTAAATTGCTTTGGCACAATATATCGGTAAATATTCCAGCCTACCTTCTAAACCCGTGGAAATTTCAGCAATATACGATAAATCAAAATATTGAAGTAAGCTTGTCGGGTCAGGATTGAATAATGTATATACTTGTAGCACCATAACCAAGATCAATGTCCGAAAGCTCTTAACAATTGTCCGCATATATATTGGCTTGTTGATTTAGTGTGTGGCCATAAATTCGTTTTCACTTATATGACATGAAAAGCAATTATAGAATATTTTAGATGTTTCATTTCCATTTCAAACTGAGGTGTTAGTGCTGTGGTTGTTTTATTTTAAAATGTACGTACTCTCTAAAAAATATTTGTATAACTAATGTAAAATTAGATTTCATCACGCTTTTTGTATGTTATCACTAACTTTGACTATTGATGAATACAATTATATATGCAGATATATTTGTCTAATCGATTTATCTAATTACTAGGGATTTTTTGGTATGCGATAATGAAATAGTCCTAGTAAAAATTATGCACAAACATTTTTATCTCCCTTTCTTTCTCTCTATCGTGTACGCACTACTATCTCTCACGCTCTCGAGTTCTCTCTCTAACCAACATAATTACTCTCTCTCTACATATATATTTATATATTATTTCAACTAATAAGTGGCGTAAAAGTCTTTGGAGCTCACCTGGAAGGCAATTCAACTTACAAAGCTGTCATTTCTGAGCAAAGCGGTTCTTTACAGTCTCTTTTAGAACCATTTTCTGTTGGATGCATAATATATTCAGATTTGTTCATTTGTTTTCTTGGACTCCTGTGACTAAATCCGTTGTTATGACGTCGATTTTCAATACACTTGCATGATTTTGGGAATAAAATTCGTTTGAAAGCGTCACGAAAATCACGATTAAATATGCTATAAATGATTGGATTTAAAAAAGAATTTGCGTATCCTAACCAGGTTAGGATGCTGAAGACTGCCGCGGGAACATCACATTCACAAAACGCTGATATCAGATTCATAATAAAGAAAGGCAACCAGCAGAAGAGAAACACTCCTACAATGATACCAAGTGTCACGGCAGCCTTGTGGTCAGACATTTTGGAACCACTGCTTTTTCCGTTTGCATTGTTAAAGCGATCTTGTGATAAAGGTGTGTTGATTTTCTTAATGTTTGCTGCGTGTTTTCGTGCATATGCGTACAGCTGGATATATATTGCTAGCATCACAATTAACGGTATATAGAAACTTATAGTTGACGAAACCACTGCGTAAGCTCTATTCAGATCCATATGACACGCGTTTTCATCGGGAGGTTTTCCATAGTCTTCCGGATTTTTATGCCACCTTAAATGAATTGGAACAAATGATATGATGAGAGACATAATCCATACAGACGAAATCATCCCTGCAACTTTCTTCCAAGTTATCCAATTCTCGTAACGTAAAGGGTCACGGATATGTATATACCTATCTAGGCTGATCACACAGAGATTAAGGATTGAGGCGGTTGAACACATGATATCTGAAGAAATCCAAATATCGCAAAACACGGACCCGAATAGCCATCTCCCCTGAATATCATTGACAACAGCAAAGGTCATCACAAGGATGGCCACCAGGAGATCTGCTATAGCCAGCGACACAATAAATAGATTGTTGAGGTGTTTCAATCTCCGGTCCGTAAACACGGCGACACAGACGAGAATATTTCCTGCAATGGCCAAAATAATGACCAGCGACAGGATCGTCCCGATCACAATACTCTCTACGAGAGTGTAAGGACCACTGGTTTCCGTATCAATATCGCCGGAAATGTTATCTCCAGCGCTTCCATTGTCGAACAGTTCATATCCTAGGCTAGGAAACACGGAGTAGTTGGTCACCATGTTCCTGTGAACAACAAATCCTCAAATAGATCCTGTGATGTGGCATCTGCTGCCTATATGTCCCCCTCCCCCTCTTCCTCAACCGAACAGCGGTTAAATCCAATGTGTTCAAGGAGTGGCTGGACCGGATCAGCAGACCCATAGCGGACTATAGAGGCACCCATACACTAACACAACGCTCGTCCTCTCCTCACGGATTGTTTTTGGAATTTTAAAGTGGAACCACAGCAAACACTGGCCTGCCAGGGATCAATTGACGAACAACTTCCATTTAGGGTGAACGCGATATCGGGTAAACACCTCCATTTGATCACTGTAAATAAAACATTGGGTGAAGATAGGGGTTTGTTTTAACCGCCTCACAACAACCTATCGCTGTTTGTATAGATAATTACCCTCACCAACCAGAATCAAGGTATTTGGACATCGCCAGACGTGTAATCATTAAAACTGCTCATGTTACACGTTCTTCAAAATCAAGTTTTTTTCAATCAGGTAACCCTCTCACTCACCGTACCAGCACAGATCTGTGTCCCGTAAAGTACTTGTGTATACTGTAGGTATATCCAAACATGACCAGGTAACTTTCATATAAAAAACACGCCTGGAATATTTAATCCATAGTGTTTTCTAGGTTCCGTTTACCGAATTCAAACACTGAAAATCTTGAATAAATAGGTATTTAATCAAACCGAATTCACTATTTAATCCTAGCGTATTCACTGAAGGCATGTCCCCGAGATTTCTATACAGAACACGTATATGATCTGCATGGCTTCACTCGTGATTAATACATTGTCCTCGTACACACTAGTCCGTTATGAAATAACAACGGTTACAAAACGATATGAATACTTTAAGTCAACATCGATAAATACACTGTACTGATATGACTTTTTCTTCAATCCAAAAACTTACAAAAGTCATTTTACTTGAACATTTGAAAAGTTTAAACAGCTCCAGATACTTCCGTGTGTGAGGAGGCTACAGCCCGACGCGTGCTCACGATAGGTGCTACACACTGCCGATCGCAGGCGTCCTCGCTCGTGTGTTCGCTCAGATAGGCGTAGCGTACATTACCGCCTGTTCGATCAGAAGTCAGCTAGCTGCCGTACGGAAGCGGTGGCAGCGATTGTATTGAACTGGCGTATTTGCTTGTCAATATTATTATATACAGGAAAAGCGCTTTGAGTTGGTCCGTCCCCTCCCATCTGTTCGGCAAGAGGTTCACAAGTATAACACTGCACAAGGCAGACATATAGCAGGATTAATACACGCCCATGTACACCTAGTCACTTTCTACAATGTTTATCATTAACTTCTTTCTCTACAGGAACATACCGCGGAGACAATACACGCATTTATCCAGGTCCACCAGCTGGGCCAAACAACGAAAAAGTTTAAGAAAATCATCAAAATGAGATTAGTGATCGACAGATGCAGCTTAAAGTTAATACAGCTAACATTCAACTGTATGGAGAACCAAACTATGTAGATGCGACATGCTTTCCCATGTGGCGCTATAAGCATGTTCTGGACGGGGCTGTTCAAAGTATGGTTAGCTTTACGACTTGTTTTATTGTACTACTTAAATAAAAGAAAAATGCAAATAATTTACGCTCGATAACTTACTATTTACTGTTGTGTTTTAACCGATTTGGAACGTGAGATAAATTGAAAGAACTTATTTAGGAATTTCGTTTACGAATTCATTAGGCTGTCACTTGTTTCAGGTGTTACGCCCATGTAACCACTTTATTACGGCCACGTCTGTCTAGATCCTCTGTCACTTACACACACCTACATACACATATGTTGTGCATCAGACACAAAACACCGCCAGCCATATACGTATTCCATGTATCATTATAAAGCATATGTTATGTTTATTGTGTGCTTCATGTTGTAATATCAAATTATGCATTGGCTGGTTTTACTCAAACTATAGAAAAATATTTTAGGAATTTAGTTTAATTTTCTGTATCAACTTGCATTATTTTTTAATAAGTGCTCTCTTACTTTTTGTTGTTGTAAATACGCAGATAAACGCCTATTTGTCGATGGAAATCTGGTACATGGTTTATGCCACATATTGTCTTTATTCACGCACATAATACAATAGAATTCCCCATCATTCTGCCTTATGTGACCTCGGTGTTTGATATTCTTCCCTACCCGTGTTCCCGTGACGTTACCCTTTCTTTAACATTTCTATATTTAGTCCTTGTATCGTAACTAAATCACTCTCCCACCACACTACGCTATTGTGAAGGCACATACAAGATTTTTAAACAAATTAACACACCCTTACCTCTGTTTAAAGGGACTGGTGGGGGAAAAAATTACAAAATAAATGGGTCTAAATCCGTTCTCTGGCCTTCCAAAAGTTATACCACGGCAATCTAATGGTCGAGTTCTGCTTGCAATGTCCAGTTTTGACCACTGAAATCTCGGGGAAGCCCCGAGTAAATTTAGCGTAGATCTATCTATATATGTCACGTGGTTGTTTCGAAAGTGAGGCAGCGAAGGTAACAACAATAGCACGCCGTCATGTGCCATGTCGGACTCAACTAGTGGACAAGACAGCAATACTATACGTAAATAATTGTTTTCAAAGGTCATGTATGATGCAAATGTAGAACTCCTACCTATATGTTGTTGTTATATATAACGGTATTGATATCTCGTGCCTGTCATGACTTTTGCATGCATCTTTTTCTTTTGCCGCGATGTTTACATTTGGCCTTGTTGATGTTACATCACTGATCTGGGTCAATTGAGAGTTTTAGACTGTCAGGTGACGATTTAGGATTTCTTTAATATAATTATATTTTTTACTCTTCAGCAATATTGTATCGGTATTTTAAACATGTGTATGCCATTTTAGCAAATATGCCATTTTTTCCCCGACCAGCCCCTTTAAACATATTATAACGCAAGCAGCTGTAGTCAAATGGTAGTTTTAATAAGTTGTAGAAGATTATATATTCAACTTTTATTTGTGGAAAAATGTTTACAACAAAAGCTTATAGGTAAACAATACTATGTGAATCTTTATACAGTAACCGACCTGCACTCGTTATATCACTGAGACAGGTGAACTTCATTTGTATTTACCCAGCAGCGTACTTCTCGTTAGCTTGTGTTAGATTGCTTGTCGAGTCACCTAATCTTCTTCCAATGATAGAAAACAAGTATATATATATCTCTGAAACATGTGTTTCATGCTAACAATGAACTCATGTTAAATCCACTGACAAGCTTAAGGGTCAAAATAATTCATTTGTTATGTTTCTCAAGATAATCATCTGTTTTATGTATTCATTACAAATCTAGCTGAGTTACTTGTCATCGCGATGGTAGGATAGAAGTTTCAAACCTACGTGTACAACATATTTGTGGCTAGAGGTTTGGGGAGTCCTTTTTATCGGTTGATTTTTAGAAATGCATTCCGAATTATAACATAGCAAGCATAATTATACACCCTTTGTAGAAATTTGTGTTCACTATAAAATTATTAGAAATCAACATAAATCTCTAATCCAAGTGTATATTAAGTGTAAAAGTTACTTATCCAGAAAGTCCGCATGGATGAGTAACTAATGTGAAATCACGACTTTTCGTCGGTTGTTATTTAATTCGTTGTCTGGTTACACGCGTACAGGAAACGTATGAATATACACTCCAATATTTGCTTTATTTCAAGGTCATTCTAATGTGGACCTATGAATTCGAGGATGAAGATTACCAGGAAATTTGAAAAAAAACAACCGAAAATTAAAGATTTCACAGTGCTAAACTTGTTTTTCTTCTTTTGTGTGGGTTGGATTCCTGAGTAAAGAAGGATGAAAAATGAAAGCAAATATGTACTGGTACCCACGTATAGCAGGCACAAAGATATCATGTTACGGTGCAGTTACAATTTCAGGACGTTGTATCAGACCTTACTTCACATAAAGAAAATATTGTAATAGATTAATGCAGTTTTTAATGTGAAACTAGAAAAGTTTATAAAAACTCCCCCTGCAACATCAATGGTGACATAAAACAATTATCCGTGTGTTTGACACATGTTATCGAACAGATCTTTTTTTCATAGGCGGCGCTCCTGAACGACTTGCTGAGATGTGATGAATGACAACAACATTGAAATGGAAAAATATTTTAAAAAAAAACAAAAAACAAAAACACAAACCCCCACTATGGGACCTCGTGCCTGACCAAGTGACTCCTACGCTTATTCATTTTCTCAGTATAGTCTTTCAGGATATATATGCGCTTTAACATAATACGTATCATGCCATGCACGAAGGGGGCAAAAAGGGATTACATGCTGTAATGGGTTGTGTTTTCGTGAATGGTGACGCAATGCTATATAAAATTACGGGTACTGCATTGTCAGGAGGGATAGAAATACACAGAAATACGGCGTCTGTATTGTTCGGAAATTCGGCAAAAACATAGGAATATGTATTATCTTACGAAATTGCTTGTCAGATGTTTGGTTTTTTTAAATAAAACACATAATACCAACAACGCAAAGTTATAGCATTGTAAATCCATATGTATATCACATTCTAAGTATATCTAAACCATGATCGATTAGCGAACCCTTCGGCAAATATATCTCATCAAATGTGTATTTCCATGTTTTTCATTATATTATAGCGCGAAAGAACTCTGAAATATACAAAAATGCTAAACCAAGTATGTTTAGAGTAATGTATTTTTATTGTTCAACTTTTACTACACACAATTCGTGGTACTTATACACTGTATTATCAAAGTATATCAATGACTGAAGCATTTATTTGTTGTATCATTACTTGATACAACAAATAATTACTTGTCATTTTAATTCTTCATGAACTTCCTGCACGTTTTAGGAAAGAATAAACATGCCTTATCCCATTGCTGTTATCGTAACAAATGGCTAATGTTCTTCCGTCTCATATGCGGGGCCGCGGTTGCCGCATGAGTGGTTAAGGCGTCTGACCGTCTACGAGCACTTACCCTCCTCCCCCACCACCACCACCACCACCACCACCAGTGAGTCACGGGTTCGAGGCCTACGTTGGGTGGGAAGCAGTTATTTTCTCGCAGGTCGGTGTTTTTTCTCCAGGTACTCCGGTATTCCTCCACTATCAAAACCTAACACGTCCTCAAAACCTTGCTGATTAAAGCTATTTAAAGGACCTAACATACAAATAAACCAAATCCATTGCCTAAGGAAAATTATATGAACCAAGTTGAAGGTAAGTTGTCTTATAAACAAAATAAGCAATCGGTGTTGAGGCATACGACCCGAAGTCTGAAAATATGTGAACGTGATGGAAGGAGTCGTTCTGTAATGTAAATATGTGCTAAAACAATATTGAACAATGGTCAAGCTGTGTAAAACAATATAGTATAATGTACAATATGTGTAAAACAATATTGTACAATGGTCAAGCTGTGTATAACAATATAGTATAATGTACAATATGTGTAAAACAATATAGTAAAATGGTCAATCTCTGTAAAACAATATGGTAAAATGGTCAAGCTGTGTAAAACAATGTAGTAAAATGGTCAAGCTGTGTAAAACAATACACGAAAAATGTACAATATGTGTAAAACAATACAGGAAATATGTACAATCTGTGTAAAACAATATAGTAAATGGTCAAGCTGGGTAAAACAATATAGTAAAATGTACAATCTGTGTAAAACAATACAGAAAATATGTACAATCTGTGTAAAACAATATAGTACAATGAACAATCTGTGTAACATAATACAGGAAATATGTACAAACTGTGTAAAACAATATAGTAAAATGGTCAAGCTGTGTAAAACAATATAGTACAATGGTCAAGCTGTGTAAAACAATACAGGAAATATGTACAATTTGTGTAAAACAATATAGTAAAATGGTCAAGCTATGTTGGTTTGTTGGTTGGTTTGATTTTGTTTAACGTCCTATTAACAGCTAAGGTCATTTAAGGACGGCCTCCCCTATGTGCAAAATGCATGCGTGTGGTAAATGTGTGTTTATTTTTTGTGGAGGCTGCGATATGTTCGTGTTTGTCTCCTTGTGATAGCGCGAAACTGATGCCGACTTTATAGTGCTACCTCACTGAAACGTACTGCCGAAGACACCCAGCAGGACGCCCCACCCGGTCACATTATACTGACAACGGGCGAACCAGTCGTCCCACTCCTAATTTGCTGAGCGTTAAGCAGGTGTATAAACTACCATTTTTAAAGACTTTGGTATGTCTCAGCCAGGGGACAGAACCCAAAGCCTTCCTCACAGAGGCGAACGCTCAACAAATGGCCAAAAGTGAGGCATTGTCAAGGGAGACATTAGGAAGAAGAAAGTTATTTAGAAAGGAGAGAAGAGATAAGGTCCCAAATTTAGTCGCCTCTTACAATCTGCTTTGAACAATATATTAAATAACAACAATCTGTGGAAACTTAAAGCAATTCTAAGCTTCGAACAAAGCAA